TAATAAAAACTTCCAACATTCTCCCACTTGGTCTATATATTTTTCTTAATGTGTCGATTATCTGTATAAGAAACACAATATATGAATCATGGCGATAAGTCCTCTTAGTACGAGTATTATCTTCCATGTATTACAGTATATCATGTGTCTTTAAACTTTATATGATAACATTACTTAATGAATAAGCCTTATGCTTATTCTAGGTCCAAGTAAGTGAGTCTTTTAATATCAAATATAGTGTACACTAAAGAAAAAGATACTCACAACTAAATAAGAGTTTCGTGAATACATAAATGTATGCACAAATGAAATAATCACATCATGGAACCAAGTCCCATACTCACAACATGATCCCTAAGTTCTTAATTGGCATGCCTTTAGTCAGAGGATCGGCAATCATCAATTCAGTGCTAATGTGTTCAATGACCACTTTCTTTTCCGTAACACTTCTCTTATGGCTAAGTACTTGATGTCGATGTGTTTACTCCGACTTCCACTCTTATTGTTCTTAGCCATGAAGACAGCAGCTGAATTATCACAATATAATCTCAATGGCCTAGCAATGGAATCCACAATTCTAAGCCCGGATATGAGACTCTTCAACCATACACCATGCGACGTTGCCTCGAAACATGAAATGAACTCAGCTTCCATAGTAGAAGTAGCGGTCAATGTCTGCTTGCCACTCCTCCATGATACAGCTCCACCGGCAAGCATAAATACATATCCAGAAGTCGACTTACGTGAGTCAACACAGCCAGCAAAGTCTGAATCTGAGTAACCAGTGACCTCTAAATCGTTCGTCCGTCTATACATAAGCATGTGATCCTTCGTACCTTGTAGGTACCTCATCACCTTCTTTGCAGCTTTCCAGTGGTCCAAACCTGGATTACTCTGATATCTCCCTAACATTCCCACGACAAATGCAATGTCAGGTCTTGTGCAAACCTGAGCATACATAAGGCTTCCAACTGCAGAAGCATATGGAATGTTCTTCATTTGTTCCCGTTCGAGCTCATTTTTCGGGCATTGATTCAAATTGAACCTATCACCCTTCACAATAGGTGCTGGACTCGGTGAACAATCTTTCATCCGAAACCTCTCCAAGACTTTATTGATATAGATCTCCTGAGACAAACCTAGAATATATCTAGATCTATCTCTATGGATCTTAATGCCGATGACATAAGATGCCTCACCCATATCCTTCATGTCAAAATTCTTAGAGAGAAATTGTTTCACCTCATACAACAACCCTTTGTCATTGGTTGCAAGTAAAATGTCATCCACATATAGAATAAGGAAACAAATCTTACTCCCATTGACCTTCTGGTATATGCAGTTATCCATGGTATTTTCTTCGAAGCCAAATGAAGAAATGACACCATGAAACTTCAAATACCACTGACGGGAAGCTTGTTTCAATCCATATATGGATCTCTTAAGTTTGCAAACCAAATGCTCACCACTACTAGAGGAAAATCCTTCAGGTTGTTTCATGTAAACCTCTTCCTCCAGTTCACCATTGAGGAACGCCGTTTTCACATCCATTTGATGTAAATCCATATCAAAATGGGCAACTAATGCCATGATCACACGAAAAGAATCTTTCTTTGATACAGGAGAAAAAGTCTCATTGTAATCGATTCTTTCTTTCTGAGTGAATCCTTTGGCTATGAGTCTTGCTTTATATCTTTCGATGTTGCCCAATGAGTCTCTCTTGGTTTTGAAGACCCATTTACAACCAATGGCTTTTACACCATTAGGCAACTCGACAAGATCTCACACTTCATTCGATGCCATCGAATCCATCTCATCTTTCATGGCACTATACCATAAGTCAGATTCCTTACAACTCATGGCTTGTGAAAACGTTTCAAGATCATTTTCAGCTCCAACATTATACTCACACTCTTGTAGATACACCATATAGTCATCCGGAATTGCTGATTTCCGTACTCTACTAGATCGTCTCAATGTTGTATCAACATTTTCCTGAGGATCATGTTGTACAACCGGTTCAACAATTTCAAGCATTTGTTGAACATGATCTGTCGGATCATCAGCTTGTGGAGGTTCGGGAACTGGTTGTTCAACACGCACTAGAGCTGGATAAGTGCGACGAACGACAACAGTTCGAAGGTGACTTGAAGTAGAAGGTTGTGAAATAGAGTGATCACTCTCAGACCTTTCTCCTAATGATCTGTCACTCCCACTAATCAAGTCATTCTCAAAAAATTTTGCATTTCTTGACTCCACAATCCGTGTACTGTGAGATGGACAATAAAATCTGTATCTCTTAGACTTTTCGGCATATCCAATAAAATAGCCACTAATGGTCCTCGGGTCTAACTTCTTCTCTTGTGGGTTATAAACTCTTACTTCAGACGGACATCCCCAAACGCGTACATGTCGCAAACTCGGTTTCCAACCTTTAAACAACTCGAAAGGTGTCTTTGAGACAGCCTTGGATGGAACTCAGTTTAATATGTACACCGTCGTTTTAAGAGCTTCATTCCACAAGGACTTAGGAAGTTTTGAGTATGATAACATACTCCGCACCATGTCCAATAATGTTCGGTTTCTCCTTTCCGCTACACCATTCTGGCTCGGAGAACCAGGTGTGGTATATTGGGCAACAATCCCATGTTCAGCAAGAAACTTCGCAAAAGGACCGGGTGCTTGTCCATTTTCAGTATATCTACCGTAATATTCACCACCCCTATCTGATCTCACGATCTTTATTTGCTCACTACATTGTTTCTCTACTTCGGCCTTAAAGAGTTTAAAAGCATCTAATGCTTCACTCTTGTTATCAAGAATGTAGAGATACATGTATCGCGAGTAATCATCTATGAAAGTGATGAAATATTTCTGTCGATATGCATCCATGTCTGGACAACATATATCCGTATGTATGATCTCTAATAGATCTGAACTCCTCTTTGCACCTTTCTTTGATGTGTTAGTCTGCTTTCCCTTTATGCAGTCCACACAAGTTTCGAAATCAGAAAAATCTAGAGTACTAAGTACCCCATCTTTTACCAATCTCTTAACCCTCTCAATGGAGATGTGTCCCAATCTCCGATGCCATAACATAGAGGATTCTTCATTCACAACACATCTTTTAATACCAGCATGAACATGCATCGTAGCATAAACGTTATCATTTTTCACATTAAGTCGAAAAAGACCATCAGACAATATACCATTCCCAACAATATCAGATTTGTAGATAAGATCGAAACCATGGTCTGAAAAGTTGAAGGAATATCCAAAAGGTACAAGTCTTGAAACAGAAATTAAATTCCTAGAAAAACCAGGAACATAAAAGGTCTTTTCCAACATAAGTACATAACCATTACTTAAAACTAGATAACATGTTCCAACAGCCTCCACATGTGAGCGCATCTTGTTTCCCGAATAGATGCATTGCTCACTTCCCATTGGCTTCCTTAGGTTTTGCAAACCCTGTAGAGAATTCGTAACATGGATTGTAGAACCAGAATCAATCCACCATGTGTTGTGACCAACATCGATCATATTAGATTCATAACAAACGAGTGTAAGTGAGTTACCTTTCTTAACAAGCCACTCTTGGAATCTCTGTCAATCCTTCTTCATGTGTCCCTTCTTCTTACAGAAGAAACACTTGGATTCCTTCTTGATGTTTCCTTGAGAAGTCAATTTTTCCTTCCCTTTCTTCTTGGCTTGGTATTTCACTTTTCCTTGAGTTGCCAAATGCCCACTCTCTCCCCCTTCCATAAGCAATCTCCCTTCCTCTTGAACACACATGTTCAACAGTTCGTTGATCGACCATTTATCCTTATGTGTGTTGTAAGAGATCTTGAAGGGTCCGTATTGCTGCGACAAAGAGTTCAAAATGTAATGCACAAGGAAAGAGTCAGACATGGTGACCTCAAGTGTTTTGAGTTGGGCCGCTAAATCCCTCATTTGCATGATGTGATCACGCACTCCTTTGGTACTGGTGAGCCTCAAAGTGGAAAACTTCATAATCAGGGTGCTCGCCAACGCCTTATCTGAAGACTCAAATTGTTCATCAATAGCCTTCAGCAGCATACGGACATTGTCATACTGCTCGATCGAACCCCGAATGCCAGATGAGATGTTTGTCTTTATGAACATAACGCTGAGGCGATTAGATCGCTCCCACCTTTCATAAAGTTCAATCTCCTCAGGCTCACTCTCCTCAGTAATCGGAGGCGGTTCGTCTTTCTGAATAGCATAGTCAATGTCCATCCACCCCAAATGAAGCAGGATTCTTTCCTTCCACACCTTATAGTTATCCCCTTTGAGCTCGGGAATATCGCATTTCATGTCGGAGACATTCACAGGTTGAAAAACTGCACAAAACAGATCAATATATACATGCTTATGTTAATAAAATTAAGGCAACTTTATGTGACGTTTTACCAGTGTAAAAACATCAACAATATGAATCATATGACATAAAAACTGCATGTAGGCTAAGTTTCTAATTCAAATAGATTCATTTAGCTTAATGATGAAACCATCGGATTATATTCATTTCTCAATCCCTGTGGGCAAATTAAGAAACATAATCGACTTTCCACCCTAATTAATTACATAAATATAATAAAACTTCCTGTGGGATAAATTTTATTTTATCAATGTGATTAATTACAATTAATATCTGTAACTAAATGTGATCCAATAACAAAATTTATGTATAATTTAATTCTAATTAGAGATGCTTTGGCTATTCTCTAATTTAAATAAATTATACAGACCACTAGATATGTATTTCGTAAATACTTATTATTGCTCAGAAATAGACATAGTCTAGTGGCTGGCCTTCCCATTTAAATTGCAAGGTCTTGAGTTCGAACCTTGCTTCTCCATGCCTTTTCCCTCATTTATTTTTAAATGAGAACCAATAATATATGTAGATATATAAATATAAATGGACCCATCACGGCCCACTAACTTTTTAATATATTAAAAAAATCAGAAAACCCTAAATGCATCTTCTTCTTTGCGTTATCTCGCGTTATCTGTGCTTCACTTTCTGTTCTTTATGGCGACGGCTCTTTCTCTACATTTTTTTAATAAAAAATCTTTATCTCTCCGATGACAACGACAACTCCGGTGGTGAAGGTTCATGACCGACGACCATCACCAGATTCGTCTACATAAATGTTGTCATGGAGAGCAAATCCGAGAATAGAGCCACCGACCCAACAAATCGCATAGATCCGAATCGCAGAGATGAAGGAAAAACAAAAAATTGCTACAGTTTTCTGGTCTAGCACAGATTACAAACAACAAGGTACTCTATTTCTTATTTTAATGAGTTATGTTCATAATATCTATTTTCATAGATTCAACACAATATCACAACCCATCAATTTCTATATCAAAATTACAAAAGCATGGAATATTTCGAAATTTCTGTAACTAGAGTTAATACAGAAAAATTATTCCAATAATCATGTCAGATTTCATGAAAATTAACTAAATAAAATAGCAAAAAATTCATGAACAACAAATTTCAAGGCAGAGGATAACAAAAGCTCTGATATCAAATGTAAGTTTAAAACATTCTTTAAACTCATCTTAAATCATGATCTTCTATGTAAACATTTTAATACATCAGATCATGTATGCGGAAATAAATTCTGAATCGAACACATACCTCCAGCCATTGAAAATGGTTGAGTTGAAATCTGAATATTTGGTGCTTCTAAACCTTTAGCAATACAATACTGATGGTGTATATCTATCTGTTTTTCTTGGCTTAGGGACCAAATACGTTACCCCTATTTATTGTTTTTTTCTCCATCAGAAAAAACTGCTATTGGGATGGTTATCATGCAGTTAACACAACATGGAGGAAATGTTAGACCATTAATATAATGTGAAGTTAATAAAAACTTCCAACAGAACACGTCGGAGATCCGTGTTTGAAGTGCCAGAGCGAGAGGATTCTCGACTGCGTCCACAGCTTATGTGCAACCCGATGTGCCTGTGATTAAAAAAAAAATCCAAAAAAGAAAATCTGAAACGCAAACAATCGAAACAGAATCGGACGATGTATATTCAACTGTGGGTGTCACATGAATGTTCACTATGTCATTCGTGCCTTTTCAATTCACCATCATGTCAAATAAAATGTTTATTACCAACCTGGTTAGTTTAACCGGTGAAACGGGGCACAAAGCGTCTGTCCTGTCCCGAGTTCGAACCCCAGGTTAGGGAGAGAGCGTATAATTCAAATCACATGGCTGACTCTCGACCCAGGGATTAGTCTGGGTCTCGGTCCAGGAAATCCGGTTATCAAAAAAAATGGTTATTAATATTAGCATTAACTATTACGTAAATTTTTTAATCCACCATAACGTAATTATTTATTAAAATCAACATTAATCTACATTATAACTTTTCAATGCACACATTTATCATTTAATTATGTTTATTTTTTATTTGACCTTTAAAATTATATAAAATTTAGGAATAATCGCATTTTAATACCTAAACTTTTACAAAACTCCCAGATAAATACCTAAACTATAAAATTCCCAAATAAATACCTGAACTTTTCAAAAATCTTATATAAATACCTGAACTTTTGATTTTTTTCCAAATAAACCATTTTCCGTTGACGGCGTCTAACGTATAAAAAATTCCGGAAAAACAATGATGATTCAGCGTTAAAAAATCCTAATAAGCATCCACGTCATACGACACGTTTCACAAACCAGTTTAAGTGAATAATAATTTAATAATCAAACCTGTTTGATAAAAAATGAACCTAAAATCTCCGTTACTCTTCTTCTTCGTGTGCTTCTCTTTCGACGGGGGATTTTGATGAGGAATTTGTGGGTGGGGATTGGGGGAGAGGCGAAGCTCCCGTAAAAATCTCAGCCGTCGTCCGTTCAATTTCCGTCGCAGGAATCCGACTCTCCTATTGAAAACTGAAGCCCAACCGATGGAGACTGAAGCTTCAGTTTCCGGCGTGAAGGCGATTGAGTCATCTTTGGAGACGATGCGTCTCGTCCAAGGACTCAGAGAGAGGAGGCAGAGCAACCGCCTCCGCAGGTGACGGTCGTGACGAAGAATATTTCGTTCGGGACGATGTCGGAGAAAGAAAAGTACGACTGAGAGACAACGGAGAAGGAAACTCCGACATGCCTCGATGAAGAGAAGCACATGATTTCTCAGAATCTGGGCTCGTTCAAGGAAGAAAACAAACAACTTTCGGATCTGTTTGATTCTGAGAGCAATCCTCTGGTCAAACTGAAACAATTTGTATAAAACTAAAGCAAAAACAAATTTGTATAAAAAAGAAAATTATATGCGTGTAGAATTGAAATTTTTATAAAAAATCTCTCATGAGGAGAATTAGAAATTTAGAAGGACAAGGAAAAGCCCAGGAGACAAACAAACGACGAACAAGATAAATATTTTATTGGCTGTTTATTTTATTATCACACCGGTTTGAGCCAATTATTATTTGGTTATTCAATTAAACCGGTTCATTTATCTTAGCTCATGACGTGGATGCTTATTAGGATTTTTTAACGCTGAATCATCATTGTTTTTCCGCAGTTTTTTATGCGTTAAACGGCGTCAACGGAAAATGGTTTATTTGAAAAAAAATCAAAAGTTTAGGTATTTATATAAGATTTTTGAAAAATTCAGGTATTTATTTGGGAATTTTATAGTTCAGGTATTTATCTGGGAGTTTTGTAAAAGTTCAGGTATTAAAATGCGATTATCCCTAAAATTTATAATCATTCTTAGATATTAGATATTTTTTATATAATAGTTTTTTATAAATTTGTATAAATCTATGGTTAATTAATTATGATAAATGTTACAATTTACTATTGAAATTATATTCAAATTAAATTTGCAAATATACAAAAATTTAATTAAATTCAGTGAGATAGGACCCTTGGTTTCACCCTTTTTAAAATAAAACAAATGATTTTAATAGAGCAATAAGAATTTAAAAAATCTTTATTAATATTAGCATTAACTATTACGTGATTACTTTGTAATAAATAAATTAATAAAAATTATAAAAATTGATGATGTAGATAATGAGATGGTTTCACCGTAAACCTCTAAATCAAACTTTTATATATATAGGCTAGGTAATGACCCGTTGTGCGGGTTATTCTTTTGTTATTATAAAATTTATTATTATTAATATAGTAAAAAATGTTATACATTATTTATGTTGTTTCAAGAAAATATATCTATAAAATTTAATTATTTTAAATTATAATTATATTATCTATATTAAAAATATAAAAAAGTAAGATGGTGAAGAAACGTTAGCTATACTTAATATGAGTTATAATATTTACCGTTGATAAGTTTAGAATTTACACAATTAACAACTATAATAGTTTTTTTTATATTCAACATATTCATTTATGAACAGATCTCTAATAGAGATCATTTTATACATAAAACTTTATAAAATTGTTATTATTTTTTAAAATAATTTTTTTCTGTTATTTTGTTACAAACCAAGATATCAATTTTTTTGAAATATACAGATTACAACTTAATTAAAACATTATAAACTTACTCTTTTAATAATATATAAAGAATAATTTTCTGAACAGATAATATATTTCATAAACTTGATCCTTTTACTACGATTAAAACTCCATTCATATTTATAATATAAAAAATATATTAGTTTTAAAATCTAAATATCCGTTGTTTTAATTTTTCTTTTGTAATTTGATAAACTTTATAAGTCTTGATTTTATTTGCCAGAGGTAGTAGATTGTGGTATTAACTTGTCCGACAACGTGAACCTTTTCAAAGGTAGTATTTTTCGTAAAATAAAGACAGAATTGATTATCAGTTAATTTGTATTTTTTTGGCAGATTCTTGAAACTAAAAATAAGAAATATATTTGACTCGCATAATAGCATCCTATTTAAAAATTATGTGAAACAAATACTATTCAAATAACCCAATTGCATAAATTGGAACTTATTTTTTATTTTTACATCTAATAAATTTTTGTTGGATCAAATTTTACATATATCACACAAATATTATAAAAATGCATATGGCATTTCATGAAAGCAAATGTGACACCCGAAACTCGTACCCCGCAATACGAGTTGCGTCACATGGACAACAAAAATAAAAACACAATTTCAAAAATCCGCGGGAATTTAAAATTTTTCTTTTCAGAGTTAGCGGAAGGAAAATCATCCATTCATACATATATGATACATTATTCTAGAGAATTATACATAACGAGTGGTAGCGAATTCATTATTACAAACCTTAAAGTCTACCACCGATATAATATAAAACCGTTTTCCCAAAAGTATAAGCGTATCATAAATACATAATTATACATGATCAGTCGACAGGTCACCCAGGTCTCCAATGTCCGCTCCACAGCTACTGCTGCTCACGACCTGAAACGTTGCGTAACAACGTCCTAAGCTAATTGCTTAGAGAGTGAAATCGAGCGTAACCCGGAGTTCTATTCTCATGGAATCAGGGAAAACAATACATATATATATATATACACACTAATACTCTAATAAACAGGAATGGAAACATGGAATCACGATAATCATGTCAGCAATCACAATCAAGTTCATACGACAAGTCGTAGGATAGAGTCTGTCAAATCGTCTCTACGCGCACCATGCGTAGATAATATACTCCCCATGTGCATAGCACAACCACCTCTCTCCTCGGAATCTATCTACTCTTCAATCACTCGGACCTGGCATAAATATATTTTTCTCCATCCGAACATATCACCCCACCCTAGCATCGATGTCACCTCTCGATACTAGGCGTGTCACCTCGCTCCGGTATTGATGTCACCTCTCAATACCGGAGCTCACCAGACGTCGGCTACAACCGACGCCATCGACTATAACAGGAGAGCCAATCACTGCAATTCTCCCTTGCCGTCCATCCGCCGCAGAAATACTAGTCAGATTCGTGCCCGAACATGGCAGAGTAAGTCTGTACCACCTCCTCGGGAGACCCCAATCTACCCGAATCTCAGGTATGCGTAATGCCTCATCCTCGGGATAATCATATCCCGGAATCCACTCCGTCGCTGGTGGAGACGTTGGCGCGGTTACCAAGAACCGTATTTTCCTCAGTCGACTACAATCAACTATCTACGTAAGTCATCGGGGTGTCCATAACCGTCTTATCGTTCGGATGTTGGCGCGATTAGGTCATCGCCTCAATCACAACCATATCCCATATGGGTGACATCCGACCCGGATCGGGGGCCCATGGATGGGATGCAATCTCGCAAACATCGTGCAATCAATCACAAACGTCTGTTTCTACAATCACGCGCTAAACATTAATCCGACCCTTTCGAATTAACGTTAATGACATGCCAACTACCCCAGTCACACGCATTTATATAGTTTATTTATTATATATGCATTTCCGCTTGCGTAGTCTTTTAAATTCATTTATATATATTTTCTTTGCGTCTTTCCAGTTAAATTACTGATTTGTACCTCCGGTTTGACCTATCTGGTCCCGGTCCGCCCGGATAATTAGTTCGGTTCATCCCGTGGTTTTTAGGCTTACCTGTTATCCATTTTGGGTTCAGACTATGTGGGGTCTGGTCTGACCCGTATTTTCGGTTTATTTTTCATTTTTCACTTTTTCACTATATTGAGTCGGGGTAATATTAGGTCCGACTAGTCCAGTTTTTCACTTTCTCATCTGGTGAAATTTCAGTGTCCCGTTACTTTTTTTTCTGAGACCGACCAAACGGATTTTGGTACAGGCCGATCGGTCTAATTGGTCTAGACCGATCGGTCTGTTTGGCCCAGACCGGACGGTCTGTCTAGCACAGACCGTATAACGAACGAAATATTTAAAAATATATATATATAAAAATAAAAATAAGAGATTGGGGGTAAGGTGATAAAATTAAAAGTTCTGCAAAAATCTGTTATTTCAGTTAGGACCTTTTAGTACGAAATAAAAGTTTGGGCATAATTTGTAAATTTCAGAAAATATAGGACTGGACTGCAATTTCGCTAGGGTTTCTTCTTCTTCTTTCTTCTCCTCCTTCCATGGCCGAACCAAAAAGCTCCCAAACAAGATTTTTGCTCCGATTTGAGTCCTTGGACATCTTTTGAACGCCGACCGCCATCCTATTGCCACCGCCCCATCATCGTTGGTTCGTTTCCATGCTACTTTCTTATCTCTTTCGTCGTTTTTCTTTCACCTCCATTGTCAATGAACTTTGTAGATTTCCGGTGAACGGAAGCTCGGTTTTGGGCGAGACTTGAGGGGTTTGGAAGCTCTTGGCGAGCTGAATCTTTCTTGGGTAGTATCGTCACCGAAAACAGTGAACCGTCACCGGAAAAATCACCGGGAAACATCGGAGAAAAATCAAGTTTTAGGAAATTGTAGTTCGATTTAGACCAAAATAACTTCGGATTTGGATTCCTTGAGTGATTTTACATAAGATACGGAAAAATTAGATGATTCCGGGATGTATGACCGCTGCCGGCCACCGCCACCGGCCACTGTCGCCGAAAATTTTTCCGGTGACATGGGTTGAATCGTTTCAATCCCGTGATTTCAAATCCGAAATCCGTTTTTTAAAATTCAAAGTATTTGGAGATATTCGAAAGATTTAAAATAAAACAGTTTAACCATAAGATTTACCATTTGATTAACGTTTTTTTTTCGGTAGTAAATATTTTTGAAAAATAATTTGTTGATTAAATTTATTATATGATAATTAATTATAGGTGAAGAAAATCTCGAGGTTATTGAACCCGGGATCGAGGATTAGAGCGAATCTTTCAGAGTTCATCGTTTAGACCAAGGTGAGGGAACTCGACAGAACTCCTCTTTCTTCTATTCGCTTAGACATGATGATAGGGAATGCAGATATCATGCGGTTAGGATTTTAGGATAGACGCCTTAAATTTTCTTGTGAATTTATTATGCATGTTGATTGTTGATTGATGACTGATGAGTGATGATTGATGATTGATGACGATTGATAATTGATGAATAATGAATGATGATTGATGATTGATAAATTTCTGTTGAGTGATTATGGCTTGTAGCGTACATGTTATGTGATGACGTTTTTTAATGGATTTATTGGATCGTTAGAATGAGCTGAACGGAGGATACTAATTAAATTTTGGCATGATGTTCGGAAAGATAGGAGAAGTAAATAATTGAGTTAAGGACTGTGATGCGACCTCAGACTATGCTAAAATATTTTTAAAGTGAGTTTTGAGACCATGGTACGACGGCGATCCGTATGTGATGGTATGATAATAACCCGGACATGGCTGCGATCCATGTGGAGTTATAACCCCGACTACGGCGGCGATCCGTAGAGGGTTGTGACTATTGGTTGAGTTTTGAGGTCATGGTACGGCGGCGATCCGTACGTGATGGCATAACGATCCGAGCATGGCGACGATCATGTGGAGTGGTAACCCCGACTACGGCGGTGATCCGTAGAAGGTTATTACTATTGGTCGTGTTTTGGTAACCCCGTCTACGGCGGCGATTCGTAGAGGGTTACAAAGATATTTTTTGGTTTTGTTTTATAAAAGTGTTTTAAGCTAAGTCTGAGGGGTACTGAATGGTTCTAGAGTTTGGACTCGTTTTAAAGAATCAAACAAAGAAAAGTTAGGAGAAGAATGTGAATCGATAGATTGAGTTTTGTTTGAGTTGAATGTTGATTGAATTTGTTTTCTATTTGATTGTCTATTGTGGGTACGGAAGCGAGGTTTATAGTCTTGCAACCTTACTGAGCTATTCGCGTAGATCACCCCTTCCTTTTTCTCCACAGGTGAAAGGTGAAGCAGAATATTTTGGTTGGATTCGGTAGTTTGCCAGAAAGACGAAGATTTAGAATTTCTATTTCCTTTATTCAATTTATTCATGAAATTAATATTCAGACTTAAGTTATTGAAATTCATTGTTTTAGACTTCCACTGTAAAGTCGGATTTTGATGGTTGATTTTAGAATAAATCAGATTTTTTTTATAACCCAAGTGACGATTCAACGATATCCGAAATACCGGATTTTGGGTCGTTACAGATGGTATCAGAGCCTGGTCTTTCCGTGGGACTTCAAACAACCATTAGTTTTTGTTAAGGAATTAATTCTGGTTAATGTAACCATTCTAATAGAGTTTTTCCATAATGTGAATGAGGATGACATATGGTCATGGACGAGGAAGTCCAATCCTAAAGGAGGGGAGATATTTCTTCCGAAATAAGTATTACTGGATTGGAATATAAAAGGAGATGACGATGAGACTTATTAGCCTTCAACGAGGACATTGTATAATAGGGAGTAAGTAAAGGAATTCAATGAGTTGTCTAGATATGGAGGTGAGATGTCTTAGTCGGAGACCTTAAAGATTAAAGAGCTTGTAAAGGGACTTCGTTCTTCTCTCAAAGCAGTTTGATCTTTTTTTTTAAAAAAAAAAAAAAATTCGATGCCAAAGATAATGGATATGACTTAACAAAATGAGAGAACAAAACATAAGATCGAGACCAACATCTAGTCCATGATGACAAGAGTAAGGTTAAGGCTCTTATGCACCCTTACGTAGTTGGGATTACAATGTACTCATGTTGTGGAAATCACCATTTAGTCGAACGTATATTGTTCCTCATCACTTGTTACCGTTGTAAAAAGGTTTTACACTACAGAAGCGTTTGTCCTAAGTTGGAAAGGGAAGCACCAAAAAAGAATGAACAAACCCCCCCGCCACAACTACTAGCTTCCAAGAGACAAGTGATGAAGTCTCAAGTCTATATACTAGGAACTGAGCAGCAAGATAAAAAAGAAACAACAGTAATCATAGGTACATTGAGTACTGGAGATGAAGAAACACACATCCTTTTTTATACAGGGGCGACACAGTTTTGTTTCGCCCGCACACATAGATCACATGGAGATTGCACCTGATATTAATAGTGGTAGAATATTGGTTCATACTCCTAGTGGAGAGGCAATGGAATCGAAAGGAATGATTCGTGACGTATCGGTCATGATTGATATACATGACTTCCATGATTGATCTGATAGTGGTACCAATCAAGGGGTATGATGTGATTTTGGGTATGGATTAGTTATCAAGTCATAGAGCTCATCTGGATTGTAAGAGAGGTAGAGTTCGTTTTGAACAAGAGGGATCTTTGGTACTAGAGTTTGAGGATGCAAGAAAGACTTTAAGTTTGCCTTTTATTTCAGCAGTGCAGGTAAACCGACTAATTCAACAAGGGAGTGAGGCATATTTGGCGGTAATAGAATTAAACGGACCGGAAACATCAGGTAGACTAGAAGATATACAGATTTTTAAAGATTTTCCTGATGTTTTCCCAGAAAATCTACATGGAATACCTCCTCTAAGAGAGATATCTTTTCCTATTGATTTCCTATTGAGTTGAAATAGGGAGTTGAACCTATCTCTAGAGCCCCTTATCGTATGGCTGCTTCAGAAATGACGGAGTTAAAGAAGCAATTGGTGGAGTTGATTGGAAAAAGTTTTATAAGACCTAGTACTTCTCCTTGGGGTGCTCCTGTATTATTTGTTAAGAAGAAAGATGGGAGTATGAGATTATGCATCGATTATCGAGGATTGAATAAGGTAACAATAAAGAACAAATATCCACTTCCAAGAATTGATGACCTATTGGACCAACTTCAAGGTGCTAGTTGATTTTCGAAGATTGATTTACGATCAGGTTACCACCAGATACGTGTTCTAGATGATGATATAAAGAAAACTGCTTTCAGAAAAAGGTATGGACACTTTGAATTTGTTGTCATGTCGTTTGGACTTACTAATGCACCTGCAGTTTTTATGGAGTTGATGAACACAACATTCAGAGATTATTTAGACGAGTTTGTTATCATCTTCATTGATGACATCCTTGTGTATTCCAAATCTCATGAGGACCATATGATACATTTGGAGAAGGTGTTGGAACGCTTAAGGAGAGAAAAGTTATATGCAAAACTGAGTAAGTGTGACTTTTGGATGCAAGAGGTAGGATTTTTGGGGCATGTGTTGTCTACGGAAGGAGTGAAAGTAGATCCATCCAAAGTGACAGCTATAGTTGATTGGGTGAGGTCGTCTAATGCCACAGAGATTCGAAGCTTCCTCGGATTGGCTGGGTATTACAAAAAGTTTGTAAAGGGTTTTGCCAACCTATCTAAGCCATTGACGAGATTGACGGGAAAGGGTGTGAAGTTTGAATGGGACGAAAAATGCGAGACAAGTTTTGAAGAGTTGAAGAAGCGATTGACATCA